GTTGTGAACAAAACAAAAGTCAACTTATATTGTGAATTGGGAAGAATAAAATTATTGTATTTTTCAACTTTAATTCTGAACTAAATCTGACTATATGTTAACTCAGATAGGTTTTAGTAGTCAAACTTGTGTATCACTACCCTGTCAACACTGAGGTTGTGAATTCGAATCCCACACGTGGTAGCACGGTGCGCTCGACTCTAATCTTAATTGACTAGGATTGTTCGTTTTCCTACCGAGAATTCAATAGCTACATGTAGTTATTCTGTTTATACAATGTGTTACATTAAATTTGATTGACATTTCTAGCGACTAAAGCGCTGATATTTTCGAAGTGATCTCACATGTGAAATATCAGTGTTTATTTCACTCTAGGAAGTAGCAAAACAATTCTGTTGTCAACTTTTTCAAGTTATACAAACTGTTCGTGGTGACATAAAACAAAATTCCCGTTGTTTTATTAAGTATCTTAATTTAAAACAATGTAATACATGGTATAAACAGAATAACTACATGTAACTATTGAATTCTCGGTAGGAAAACTAACAATCCTAGTCAGGTGGCATTTCAATATACATGTAAATATTTGTCCCATACATAATATATAGCTATAAGAAGATGTGGTATGAGTGCCAATGAGACAACTCTCCATCCAAGTCAAACTTTATAAAAGTAAACCATTATAGGTAAACATGCATTCAAGTCTAGACACTGCCTATACACTAGGGGCTTATACAGAAAATTGTACATTGGATTATGTAAAACAGCTCTAATTACAATGATAATAGTGATCTCGGAATCGTCCCCTCACCGTCACAACCCCACATCAATTACTTCATGAAATATGTTTAACTTACCAAGTTCAAAAAGTTAAAATGATTCTAGAATGTTTTTTTGTTACAAGTATGTCTCTTTCTAGCAGGTGATTGGAACATGTTCTTTTTCCGCCAGCTACTGCTCGGCCTGACCCCTTCTTTGAATGAACTACATTTGGGTGTGTACTTCGCTGAACTAGTACACATTTTTGTTTAGGGGCCAGCTAAAGCCCGCCTCCGGGTGAGGGATTTTCTCGCTGTGGTGAAGACCCATTAGTCTCATTAACATTGAGATTATTAATATCTTCATTGAGCGTTTTGCAATAAAAAATAATAGAAGAATACCATGTTGTATACCATTCTGGTGCATATAATTGTATAATTGTAAGTTTGACTTAACAAATGACCCTCATTCATGTCTTTGATTCTACAAAAAAAAAAAATAAATGAACAAATGATATCAATTACTAATACTTTATATAAAATAATAAAATAAAGCACAATGAAAAGCTATATCAACGGTGTTCAATTTTGTGTAATTTGCGTCTAAGACATCCATTTTTTCACTGCAGGTGTAGGCACATCTAACCAAGTTTGCTTACAATCATGTAGATAATGCTCGGCACCCAAGCCATACATCATACAAGGAAATTTTCAAATGATAAGACCAGGTTTCATTGGACGTTGTATGCATATAAAAAAAGGAGGATTGGAATCAACAAGAAGTAGTTTGCATGCGCCTGACCAATGTCAGGAACCTTGTCAGTAATTGTCTTAATGTTCTTCGTAATTTTTAGAATTGGGTGCTGACAGCAGATCTTTGATTGCATTTGATAATTGCATTCCATCTTTTAATGACAATTAATAACTTTACATATTGTAAAGGTACCTGTCTATTGTTGAATAGATATAAGAAGATGTGGTATGAGTGCCAAAGACTGTATGTTATCCTCTAAATGTATATCGTTGTTGTTTCACATACACAATATCTTTCCTTCATTCACATCATTAAAAAAATGTTGAGAAAATTAAAGGATTGGAATTGTCCGTTAAGATACATTTCTACCAAAGTTTGCTTACTTTTCTCAGTAGAAATTAGGGTAACGCATAGTGTTTCAACTATAATTTTATGATTCATGATTTACTGAAGCAATTCAATTCCTTTAACCACCACAGTAACAATAATTGCTAAGTACTAGTAACTTGATGAACGTTTGGTTTTATCTATGATTACAAAGGAAAACTACCCTTAAATAAATTAGGGCCTGTGAAGCGCTTTTCTTGATTTACCTTCAAATATAATGCTCAAGTACAAATATTTGAAAATAAAGAATGTATGAATGCTTGCCGAGCTATACGACAAAATAGGACATGAAATACATTTTGTAGCCAAATTTTTCTACGGTCAGATTTCCCTTAGGTAGTTGGAAACTATGTTTCTTATAATTACTAACGTATTAACTATTCTAAAAATGTATGTTATAAATCATGTCAATGGTGAACCGCTGACTAATGAGATGAGTGTATCCTGTGGGACTTACAGTCCAACAGCAGCGGTATCAACCCAGTGTCAATTGTTTAAAATGTCGGACAAAAGAAAAAGAAAATACATAGGTGCCTGCATTGCATATAGAATCCATATACATCTGGCAATATTGACGTTTTAGAATTGAGAAAAAGATACTTCAACTAACTAGCAAATTAAACTGATGGTAATAATATGTACAAAGTAAAATTTGAGTAGACAGTTTGACATTCTAAGATAATTCAATATATTTGGAGTCACTAAATTTGTTAGTACTAGTATACCAATGTTGCTAAAATTTATATTATGACGCCGCGTACGGTGTTGGTGTTAGTTTTCAATTGGTAACGTTAACTGGACGTTATTTTCCATGCATTGCATAAATATCGTCGTACTTCTTTCATTTCTTTTATCTGCTTTTTGATAGTTTCTGAATAGCATTTTTATTAGTTGAAGCAATTATTTCATCACCTGTTTTAAAGTTTAAGTATCAATTGTTGAAAGCAAATTCAAAATTTACAACAACAAAAAACATTTAATCTAATTTACTAACTGCAAATAAAAGGAAAGTAAATCTCAACTATGAACAAGTTAACGGATACAGTTATCAATTTTAATTAGATTCGATCAAAATCTGTTGAGAAATTGTTTCCAAAAAAAATATCCTCAAAAATCATAGTTTTGCATGAAATATGTAGGGAAACTACATGTCAAGTTATACAGAAAGTAACGTCAAAGCGAGTGAAAAAGCATGGTGTGACATTATACCTAGACAAAAGTAGTCGCTGACTGTGTCGTTAATATTTTCGTCATATAGTCGAAAATGGATTCAAATAAATAATTTCAAATGTTGTTTCCCTCCAAAACTGTTGTATATGGCTTATCATACTTTTAACTAAAATGTAAAAAATTACGTTTTGTGACATTTTGACTAGACACAAACAAAAAGATCGTGTTTGTTTCCTTTTTTACATTTTCCCTTCAAACTTCTACATATTTTTTTTCATACACCTAAAAAACATCTTTTCACTTTTAAAGAAAATTTCAGATTGTAAAAAAGACCTATGTCTATTGTTTTTCATTAAACACTTAAAAAATACGCCGAAAACGTCAAAAAAGGCAAGCATGACATTTCAACGGATTTAATGAAATGAACAATATAGGACATAATTTAAACAATATTTACTAATGGAAGACATAGAAAGTTTTATATTTTTTGTATAATTTTGACACAGGAAGGGTGGATATTTGAATTTTGATTTGTGTCTGCAGCATTCGTTCGATAAAATTTGAAATAATCGTAAATTCTGCGACGATCTTTTGAAATATTGTAACAAAACTTTTATTTTTTTCTTTGTCATATACTGAATAAAAAGATATATTATTTTCGGAATAATCTATTTGAATTATTTTTTAATATTACTCTTACTTTCTCCCCTATCCATTTTTTTTTGGCTTGTCCACAAAAAAAAAGTGAACTTTTCTTCCTTTTCAGATGCGTTCAGTTAGCGATGACGTCATAAGTAAAACATACGTCATTATCACCAAAGACTGCCCTTTCTAGGAAAACCTCTTTTACAAAAAAAAGTTTAAACAAAGACGAGAATAGCATTAAAACAACGCTGGTCATATACTGTGGTGTTACTTATCCACACGAGCAAAATCGGTGTGATTTGGGATTATTGTTACAAAATGAAAAAAAGTATTGATTTTAAGGCATATTCCATTTCTGCTTTTAGTTACGCAAATTTTGATGAACATTAATATGGTTATCAATTCCGATACTTCGAACAAATACAATAAAGGCGAACTGGAAATCAAAACCCGTATTAGCACCAACACCTTACGCGATGTCATATTCATTCCATCCTGCTGAGTAACAAAATTTAATGATCCTAGAACTGCTCACTTTTCCGGAGTACATGAGATCACCCCAGTTTTGTTTGGTTTTTTATTTGGGGGGGGGGACACGTTTGAGAGTGTAAAATATGTATACTAGGCTATAAAAGGCTTCGGCATGACAAAATGTGAGACAATTCAAAAGAAACTTGGTACTAAGCACAAATACAAAAGACACAAAGTACCGATCTGCATGGATACCTGCATTTACTAAGAGCTAGTTCAAAGTATAACTTTTCAACTAATAAATAAATCGTTTTCTAAAAGAGGGACGGATGACATAAACAAATGTTTTAACCCTGCCACTTATGCATGTGTATTTCCAAAATCAGAACTTCGTTAGTAGCTGTCTTATGTCATATATATCTTAATTTATTCTGTTGTTTGAAAACAAATTGTGTTAATGACAGATCTTTGACAGTATGTGTTAAATTATTCACATTTTTTACTCGGGACGATTTAGAGCTTGGTGTATTCCATTTACACTTGTCTATCGTTGAAGAGTGCATTTTGCCCTGTAAAAGTTTTTTGGTTATTTATGTTTTGGGGTTGCTGTCTCGTTAATGTATTAACCATATCTCCTTTGATTCACATTGTGATTTTTAAAACTCTCCAAACTGTTATACTGCAGTTTGGGAAAGCTGAAAAGCAGCTATATATGTAAAAAATGTTTAACAATATATAAACGACAGTAATCATGTAAGATACCAAGTAACAACACTAAGTAATGTTATTTCCGAATGAAGATAAACTCAATACGTCCTAGATAATGACATACTTTTTTCACTTATCAAAAAATGGCAGAATACAAGCTTACGTATTTTAACTTGAAAGGACGAGGAGAATTATGTCGTCTACTGTTTGTGCTGGCGGATAAGAAATATGAAGACCATCGATTTGAAAGAGAAGAATGGAAAGTTTTAAAACCATGCAAGTATGCTAATGTATTGTCAAATTGAAATGCATCAGATATTTACCCGGAAATCTACAGTTGGACGAATTCATTGACCTGAATTTTTCTTTTAAATGATTGTAAATGAATGAGTAGGCGGTTGATCTGACTACTAGACTATAAAATATACATGTATTACAGGTGTACATAATTGATTTTAATGTAAACCTGTACATTATTAAATATATTTATTTTTGTGATGAATCAGTCGAATTCCATTCAAACTAAGATAGGAATATATAAGAAGGAACCAAAAACTTAAATTAAAAACAAACACACGTTATTTTTTCATGGGAGTATTTTCAAACTATCTATAAAATAACAGAGCTTCAGCTATAGTATATATTGTTACAGTAACCAGCGTTTAACCCGTGACATATAAATAGTACAATGTCCTATTGGTGAAATAATCAAAGGTTATTTAGTGATACAGGTTTAAAAATTAGATCGTCGTAAACTATACTTATTTGGTTTACTTATGCACGGTATTATAAATGACGGAATATTTCCTATCTGAAATCGGTTTGGAATTACACGACAGCGATAGATATAAAATAAGAGAAACAAATTTTAAGCCCTTATGCATGCGAGAAATCAAATAAAAAGACGCATACTCCGTATCTTGTTGATTGAAATTAAAAAAATAATTTCCCGATCCTCTCTTTTCATGTATTTTAAAAATCACAATTCTAAGTCTTTAACATACACACTCCCACTTTTGAAATGACTGAAGACTTGTTTGGTTGAGAGCGATCGATTCAAAATCAAATTAAGACGACTATTTAAAAATATATTTTTTCTTTGAAGTGACTGATATTTTGTTTTGTTGAATTTTTTTAACCAAAAAAAGTACACTAAGTGCAAAAATGTTTAGTTAGTTACTAACCTAAAAAACTGAAACAAGTAATATCGTTCGAATAAGTGAAAATACATATTAAAAAGAGTATAAGTATGCCTTGTTTGTTCAGTATAGACGTATTTACACTTGTATGCAAATTTGTCCGCCATTACGTAAAATCACACAGGTTCCCGTAAACTTTGACATCATGATTCAAAACATTTGACGTCACAATTAAAAAGTGATTGTTGTCTGACGTCAAAAGGTGATTCGGAGTAGATCTAAGGTCATTCGGAGGCAAAATATAGCTAAATACCAAAAGTGTAAATACGTTTATTACTTAACTATACTGAATTTGAAACAAAATTTGTGTATTGAATAAAATCAGTGGCTGTAAACTGTACAACATACAGCTTTCTTAAAAAAAGAATTATTTTGTTTGTTGTGGTCTTCCTGTGTTTTGCCTCTAAGTTACCTTTTAGCGTTAAACGTTTACTTGAGTATTCCATATATCTTTACAGCTATGCCACTAGGACAGGTGCCCGTAATGACGGTAGGAGGGACACAGATACCACAATCCGGAGCCATTATTCGATATCTTGCCAGGGAATTCGGTAGTCCATTTTTTCAAATCTTGTATTATTATGCCCCCGCCGTAACGGAGGGGGCCTTAAGTTTTACACTTGTCCGTCTGTACGTCCCGAAATTGGTTTCCGTTCTCTAACTTGAGTTTGCCTTAACCAAATGTTATGAAACTTATACACAATGCTTATTACCACATAATACAGATCAAGTTAAAATTTGATGGCGTCACTTTTAAAGTTCTAGAGTTATGCCCCTTTACAAATGGAAAAAATTGCTGATTTTTTTGTTTCCGTTCTGTAACTTAAGCTGCCTCAACCAGATGTTATTAAACTTATACACAATGCTTATTACCACAAAACTCAGACCAAGTACGAATTTGGGTAGCGTCACTTTTACCGTTCTTGAGTGATATCCCTTTATTACGTTATCATGGAAGCGGGGGTATCATCTGTGTCCCATGGACGCATCCCTCATTTGTTTTATTATTTCAACCCAAATTATACGCGTTAAGGGTGATGGTGATTGATGCATATAAAAATGACATTATGGACAGAGTGAGCTATGTTTATTATTTCACGTCCGTGATCTATCCATAAACCTTCACATTTTGAACCGTATCAGAAACAATTTGACTAATTGGACAAAAAACTTTGTTGACTGGTCCACTTTCAAAATCATGTTTGCCATCCCCCGGTGATTCAGTTGGCTGTTGTAACCTCAGTTGTTTAATGTGTTTTGGAAATCTTTCTAACCACTTATCGACATAAGGAACCAAGCGTCTCTTAAAAAAGAGGCGAAAGATACCAAGTGACATTCAAACTCATAAGTCGAAAATAAACTGACAACGCAATGGCTAAAAAAGAAAAAGACAAACAGACAAACAACAGTACACAAAACACAACATACATGTAGAAAACCGAGCAACACGAACCCAACCAAAAACTGGTGTCCTGTGGATAATTTTTTTCTAAATCCTATCTTGGAGTTTAAAATCACACAGCAATCTTAAGATACAAAAATTAAAATAGATATCTAGAATTGATTACCATTCCGAGGTTCACACGCAAATTTCGCAGAAAGTTAACAGACACTCCTCAATCATTTTTGGTACGTCTCCGGGGAGATTATCAAGACAAAAGGCATTTATATCTTAATGTTTTTGTCATGTTGATGTTTAAGTGTTGATGTCAGATCTTTGATAGTCTCTTAACTCACAACGTTTGAAACCCGGTGATTAGAAATTGGCATAGTTTATAGGCCCCGTTTTTTTTAATTGGAGAAAAAAAAATGTTGACCTGTAGATGTCTTTTGGTTATTATATCGTTTGGTTGTTGTCTCATTGGAGTTTACACTACATATCCTATTATTCTATTCTATTCATAAAATCCAGGGACCCAACTATGAATGCGATCATTTCTTTATTTCCTCAATTGCAAAAGATAAGATGGTACGCGTTCTACATGTTTACAGTACTAAAGAATGAACTTTGCTTTCAGTCAGCTTATCAAGTAATTGAAGATCATTAACACTTAGGCGGGGCTTTCATTGTTTTTCAATTCGAGCTATTCGTTTGAATCCCTAGGACTGTGTTATGGTCTAATTGTTCCGGCAACGGGTATTTGTTTGCTGTATTTGTATCTCCACACGCAAACTGGATTTTTTTTCTACAATGCTTGCCTAAAATGACCCATGACCCAACAAACGAAAAAAGAAATTACTATGGAACGCCATGACTGCATGCCTTATGTTGATGACCATCAATATATGGAGTGGTCACAGCATTATATTATATTATATGCAGTCGTTAAAGCATTATATGCAGTGTTCAAAACATTATATGCAGTGGTCACAACATTATATGCAGTGGTCATAACATTATATGCAGTCGTGACAACATTATATGCAGTTGTCGGAACATAATATGTAGTGGTTAAAACATTATATGCAGTGGTCATAACATTATATGCAGTCGTGACAACATTATATGCAGTTGTCGGAAAATAATATGTAGTGGTTACAACATTATATGCAGTGGTCACAACATTATACGGGTTTTGTTGACGGTGATGATCAGTGATAGTGATGATGATGATTGATGATAGTGATGGTGGTGGTTCAAATTCGATAAACTTCGTAAATTTTTTTATCGGAAATTGCCGAATACAAAATGAAACAGTTATTGAAGTCATGTAATTAAGGCAATTCGATTGAAAACTTTAACAGAGAAAAAATAACGCCTGCTATTGTCTGCAAATTGGACAGACATAATTTTATAAATTTAGGGGTAGTTCATTCCGAGGAAATGATGAAACTAAGAGTTGAATGCATTAACTAGTTCTGTTCTTCTTAAGAAATACGCATGACATAATGTAAGTAAAATAATGATTAATAAAAATGAAATATCAAAGGACAGTTTGTATACTTCATGTCTCGAGTTCATTTCCTACTGAAGAACTATTGTTAGGTGCCACTTTATAGTCGATATTCAGTTTAAATGGCATATATACATTTTGAATAAAATAGTCAGCTGTCTATCAGACCTAAGTCCTATATCTCGCCAGCTTATATATGTCATGATAGAGCCATTATTTGGCTTTGATTTTCAGAATTATGCATTTTTACATGATTTAGTATCTAACAGATATGAAAAATGCAGTTTAAAGCCTTTCATTGTAGGTGTTTAATATTACTTTACATCAATTGTATCCAACTTTTGCAAGCTTTTTAGCACGTAAAGCAGTTTGTCTACTAAATATGAGCAGCAGCCTTAACCAAAGAGATATATAATCATATATGAAAGCATCGATCATATTTTACAACTTCAGATAAACATCTTTTTTGGTTATAGTTGAGGCTCATATCAAAATATAAACTTTTATTATGAAAATTTACCCTTTTTCAGACCCAGTTTAACAGTATTATTTATAGTTATCATCTCTTTATCATCCCTTCGGAAAACGGAGTTTGGTAGTGGATATTGCGTTTACTACGTTTGTTTGTCCGTCTGTCACGGTTAATATAAAAATAAGGAGATGTGGTATGATTGCCAATGATGTAAGCAATTATAGGCAACCGTACGGCATTCAACAATGAGAAAAACTCATACCGTATAGTCGGCTATAAAAGGCCCCGACATGAAAAGTATGAAATAATTCAATTGAGAAAGCTACGGCCTAAGTTTTGCTTTTTAAGGTCAAGATCGGAACAAACTGCGAGTCGAAGAGGAATGATGTACTATTAGTGCGCACATTTTGAATAGTAACGAATGTCCATGAAAAAATTGGGTCACCTCGACCTAAGTTAATTCTGGTTAAGTTTTGCATTAAAATACAAAATCTCATCAACTACAAGTCATAGAGGAATGATATCTTTTAGATCGCAAATCTGTGATAATAACAGAGGACCTTGAAAAAAAGTTGGTCACCTCGACCTATATTTTTCGCATGAATGATTTTGATTAAAATTTGTGTTAAGGTCCAGATGAAATCAACTACAAGTAAAAGAGGAATAATATTTGTTACTGAGCACTTCTTTGGTATTAATGAAGGTCCGCACACAAATTTTGTCAATACACAGGCGCTAGGCTAGCGTATTAAAATTATATATACTCTGCAACAACAAAAAACAAAACTCGCCACTCCTTATTATGTCCCTTTAGTCTGGGGATTTCAGTTATTTTTGCTAACAAAATGTTTTCCCTATCCCATGTAAGAATCCTTGTCAGAAGTTGCATCTTGAAAATTTCATATCTGAATAATATAAGTATGTTTGCACACCATGTAAGTATATTTGCACATCATATAAGGAGCTTTGCACATCATATAAGTACATTTGCACATCATATAAGGATATTTGCACATCATATAAGTATATTTGCACATCATATAAGTACATTTGCACATCATATAAGTATATTTGCACATCATATAAGTATATTTGCACATCATATAAGTATATTTGCACATCATATAAGTATATTTTCACATCATATAAGAATGTTTGCACATCATATAAGGATATTTGCACATCTTATAAGGATATTTGCACATCATATAATGACGAGTCCATATCATATAACGGTAAATGCACATCATATATAATGAAAATGGGCATAACAAGACATTTTTGGCGTTCCATAACACTCAATTGTAATATAATTGTTATTTGGGCTTCACAGCGGACATGGGCTCATATTCCCTGTCAGTGCCCTATATCCACTTCGCCTGACGGCCCAGGAGATATAAAACACTGACAGGGAATCTGAGCCCATATCCCCTGTGAAGATCCCGAATAACATATATAACATTTGCAGTCAAAGTTTCCAGCCCTTAATCTTTTTAAGTTTTGCTTCTATTTTATACACATGCATGTGGCTCTAAAAATGAAGAATTTTGCAGACCCTACCTACTTTTTAGTTGTTTGAAATACTTCCACTGTACGTCAAGCAAACGACAATCCTCATACTTAATCAACAGGACATGCTTTGCGTTCTTGCTCTGAAATAGCATTTGCTTAAATTTAAGGATTGTATGGCAAGAACAATATGGAGATTACAATGGTTGATGTTATAATAGAGACAATTGATGAAGCGAGGTCAGAGTTTGTAAAATGGATAAAAGAAGAGGATGCAGCAAAAAAAGTTTGTAGAGCGATATAATTGTATATCATTAATTAATTTTAAAATATAAGTCTATTTAAGTGGTGAAAAAAATTACGAGATAAAACTAAGGATCAAGCATCAACTCATCAGTATCAAAATTCAACTAAGTTGTCTTATTCTGAACCACCTCGAGCGCAATGTCGATGTTTTCATCCCCTTACCGGTCTTGTAAAAATTGGTATTAGCTGCTGATTGGCGACATTTATATTGTCATATTAAAATTTTATCTGATTTAAAGCGATCGTTTAAAATAATTGATGTGATGGATTGTACAAATATCGGTTTTGAAGACATAAACCTAAATGGGATGTTAAGTATTTCGCATCCTTGAGTCAAATATCAACAATAAAAATATCTGATATCTGATCTCGACTTATTCAACTTCAACATTCAGTTTGGTTATTTTTTTCAAAAATATAATATATGAAATAATCGATGTTCAAGAACAACTATAAATGATGTAAACCTCGGTGAGATTGACACTCAATCTCCGCCAAAAATGAACTTGTAGCGCGGATTACCTCAGTTAATAAGACAAAGAATTATCAAAAACATATTGAATATTGAGATGTAATTACTCTGAAAGTGATTTCTTGATAGTTAAACAAATCTATAAATCCTTTACAGGTAGAAATAAGTAAAAAATTGAAAGAAGAAGTTTTTCCTAAATTCATTACGTTTGTTGAGAAAATGTTGTCGGATAATGGAGGACAATTCCTGGTTGGAAGTGAGGTAACTTATTTTATATCACGTTGCATAATTATAAATAATGATACATCGATAAAACTAATTTCATTCAATTGTCAACTTGACAAAAGCTGGTTCAGGCAAGACTAGAGGAGTAAAAGGTGAGCATCGATGAAAAATCTGCGCGGTATACAACAAAGGAAACGAAACATCATTGAATTTAATTTACCCTCGCTTTATAAGGTGTTTCATAGTTCCTGTCATAACACGTACCAGAAGTTATTCCATTTGAACTCTTTGAATCGGTCAAAAAGATAGCATCTAAAAGTACAATTTTTACTTTCTAGTAATCAGTTGCATTGATGAGATGATCTGATGTATCTATAAAATTATGAAAGGGATATAAAGTTAAGCCATGCCATGGTGGGTTTTTTAAAGTAATATCGATGGATAATTTTTATCAAATATTTATTTTATTTTTTTCTAGGTAACTCTTGCAGATGTGGCTGTTTTTGATGTTATTTCAAGAATATCTGATATGTGGAGTCAGGAACTCATGAATATGTCAACTGTATTAAAAGCACATTGTGAAAAGATAGCGACCATACCAAATATAAAGGCATGGTTAGAAAAACGACCAAAGACAGCTCGCTGAATCGTTAACCAAATTTTGTTTAAACTAATCAGACGATAATATAATTCTGTTTAATTAATTGTATACCAGTAAAGTACTACAGATAAACAGATGTCTTCACTTTTATTTAAACATTGTATTTCAACTTCAGTAGGTATCATGAAATTTTTAGCCTTTTTTACAATTAGCTCAAGCTTGTCTAAATTATTAGTAGTGTGTTAAATGTGATAATGAAACAGTTTGATCAAGAAGGCTCGATTTTGACTCATTATAATGATTTAAGTATGTTATTGTCCATAAAATAAACCGTACTACGCATATCTTGGCTAAAACTTGTACGTTTATTGCCTTTCTTGACGCAAACACCACAAAACGACATAATTACGTTAATTGGTATATTAGACATGTTTAACCCCGTCATATTCTGTATGTGACTATCCCAAGTCATAACCCTATGAATTTATACTTCCAAAACAAAGATATAAACATATATTTTCTAGAAAGTTTGTTATAAGGTTCAAGTTAGCATGACATTAAGAAATTTTTCGACAAATATACAATGCTATTGAAATCAATATTGCATGTATGTAGTGGCCAAGACAGTATTATAAACTGAATGGCTACAAATGGTGAATTTCATGAACTGCAAAATCCACATGAAAAAGCTAATTAAATTTTAATCGGGGATCATTCTAACAAAACTTTTTATTATTTGTTATTGGCTTTGAAGTAGCTGTCAGTAACTGCGAGTACTTCTTGTCTTTTTTGTTGTGAGGGATATATAAATTCCCAGCCACGCTTGGTCTGTGTTTTTTGTTTTTCTGCTTTGTATCAATCTGATGAGTTAAGCGCTTTTCAACTGATTTTTATTGTTTGTTCTTATTTTGTTCTGTTAAACCACTGTCCCAGGTTATGGGGGATTTGGCGCCAGAAAACTTGTTTAACCCCGCCACGTTCGATATGTGCCTGTCCCAAGTCAGGAGCCTGTAATTGAGTGGTTGTCGTTTATTGTTTCTTATATTTTTTTTTTCTTTTATTGTTTTGTAGTTTGTTGTGCCATTCACCACTGTCCCAGGTAAGGGGATGTGTTCAACACTGCCGTATTCTTTATGAGCCTGTTCCAAGTCAGGAGCCTGTAGTTCAGTAGTTGTCGTTGGTTCATATCTATTATAGGGGTAAATTCAGTAAAAAATCTCCCATTGACTTTAATGCTAATCTATGTCTTGAATTAAATTTATACCTGATTTACCTTTAGAAATTGGAAGCTTTCATATATCATTCATGAAAGTACAAATGTAGCCCTATCTTTTCCAACAATAAAAACATAGGGTCATGCGGCATTTTTGGGCATTCACATGGCCTTGTTTACAAACACTGTAGATTCGCACTTAATTCCTTTACTGACCCCCATTACTTTTCAACCCTGTAGTAAAAAAATTTAGTACATTCAGCATTCATTTTTTACCTTTTTTTAACTCTAGTTTTGATCCATCTATCAAAAAATATTTATTACAAACATTATCTACCAATCAGAAGAGCACAGGACTTCAGTTTTATACAGAAAGCTTCACCCAAATGGGCGGTCCCTGATAAAGTATATTTATTTACTGAATTTACCCCTATAAGGGACTTTTTAACTTATTTTCCTATTTTTGTTGTATTAATCATGTAATGTATCCAATATTCAAATTCAGTTTCAATACAACATTCATAAAGGCTGAATTTGTAAAGATAGAGGAAAATTTATACTACAGCCCATACTGCTGCCAATGTATATTTGGTATATAAAGTTGCACATTGATTGTTTTTAAAAGAATGGTGTAAAATACTATGCTTAATAAATATGAATTGTTTTCTGTGTTTGCTTTGACCAGTATTGCAAGTACATCTAGGAACTAAAGTCTTGATGTACTCTTAGTTAAATTTTGCCTTATACGGAAGTTTTTAATTAAATACCCTGAAAAAGACCACAAAAAGACTTTTCAAAGGCTTTTTAAGCAGTTTCATACCATAAAAAACAACAATTATCTTTCATTTTACTAAATCTGTGTTTTAATTACTTGTAAAGTTCACAAAATGTCATTGACAACCACTCTGCAAAAATTCCTGTTACCCCAACATCAGGATGGTTTCTTCGCCAAAACTAGACGGCCAAAACTGAAGTAGAAAAAAGTGCAAAATATGAAAAAAATAAGACTGGGTATGACCAAACTTTGTATTTGGAACATAAAAGTAACAATTTAGATAATAAAAAGCAATTATTTAACATAGCAATCCAATTACAAATATTTCAACACTAGTTTTATAGATGAAGGGTATGTAATCATAAAAAGTTGTCTAGTATTTTTTTTACTTCAAGAAACGCAATGAATTATGTAAAAATAAATGAATATCTTCATACGGTCAGATTATTCGAGTGTTAAATTACTTGAAAAGTGCTTATTTACAACTTGATCTACAACTTAACATGGGGAACACAGCTAAAAAAAAAACACTATATCAAAGGGAGGTAATTCCGATTTTCCATATGATTTTACACAATATTAGGAGAAATAAGTGCAAAATGTGATTTAAAATGGGGAGAATATTTATGCTTCATTAATATCATAACTCTCAAGTGTAATTTCTATTGTTTCTTTCAATCTGGACACAAAACTGATTTTTTACCATATACCCCATGTTTCCTCCCACAGTACACTCAGTACATCCTGGATAGCCACGGTTAAACATAGAAATTTGTATAAAAAAACAACTTTAACTGGTTCCAAAAGGCTTCCATTGCATTAATATTTACAGGAAATTAGTTTTGTGATTATTGTGTGGCCTTGAACAAGTACAGTGACAGAGTGCATATTTTCCTATAGGGGTAAATTCAGTAAAAAATCTCCCGTTGACTTTAATGCTAATCTATGTCTTGAATTAAATTTATACCTGATTTACCTTTAGAAATTGAAGCTTTCATATATCATTCATGAAAGTACAAATGTAGCCCTATCTTTTCCAACAATAAAAACATAGGGTCATGCGGCATTTTTGGGCATTCACGTGGCCTTGTTTAAAAACACTGTAGATTCGCACTTAATTCCTTTACTGACCCCCATTACTTTTCAACCCTGTAGTAAAAAAATTTAGTACATTCAGCATTCATTTTTTAATTTTTTTTAACTCAAGTTTTGATCCATCTATCAAAAAATATTTATTACAAACATTATCTACCAATCAGAAGAGCACAGGACTTCAGTTTTGTACAGAAAGCTCTCCCCCAAATGGGCGGTCCCTGATAAAGTATATTTATTTACTGAATTTACCCCTATATATTTGTTTTTGGTGGATTTTTGTCTCACTCATTATCAATTTGACATCAAATAATCCAGTTATATGCCATTTTTAACATTAATAGCAGATACTTTGATGAATCATTTAAAATAATTCGCATCTTTTTATGAATTATTCAGTGAGACATCTTCTATATAAGGTAACTTAATGTAAAAGGATAATGGTAGCTTTTTTTCATCTTCATAAGAAGCTCTTGTATAAGTCAGCCTCATATGAAGAAAGGAACAAGTCGTCAGGAGGATGAGCACAGATGGTTCCGATGGGAAAGCCCATTGTTTGTTGAAAAACACGTCCTCCTAACGTAGAAAATATGTTGTCAATCAAGCAAACAAGCATTTTGATAATCTCAGTTTCAAGGAATTTTCAGTTTGAATCAAGAGTGTTTTTTACAAAAAACGATTTTATTCCAATCACATAGTCAGGTAACTTTGGGGATAAGTGTGAATTCGCTTATTTATAATTTTAAGCAGTACTAAAAAGTTTCTTTTGTGCTTTTTTGCATTTAAATTGTCAGTTTGTTCTAGACATTGCAGAAACTCATTTCTCTCTTTATAGTATATGAAGTTCCTGTTTTGAAATCGTCTATGAAGTACGGCAACCTATATGACTGCATGCTCGAATATCAGGATGTTAAGCACTTTAACATTGTTTTCAGTCACTTCAAGCTTTTATTGATACTGACAAATAGTTTTTCAATTATTTTTTACTTGCGTTTTTGTTATCTAAGAAACCGTTATTTCATAATGCTTTCCTTTTTTTTTTTACTGTGTTTCCTTTTATTTACGTTTTGTTAATTCACTGATCGAAATACAAAAAAGGAGATGACGGATGACTATTAAAATGCTGCTTTATGTCATATATATCTTAATATATTTTGTTGTTTAGAAAAGTTTGTGTTGATAATAGATCTTTGATACTTTTTGTTTAATTATTAACATTTGTTTTACTCTGGACGATTAAGAGCTTGGCATATTGTTTTTAAAAAAATCGTCTATTGTTGAAGACTGTGTGTTGCCTTGTAGACGTTTTTGGTTATTTATGTTTTTGGGTTGCTGTCTAGTTAATGTATAACCCATACCTTCTTTGATTCACATCATGATCTTTAAAACTCGACAAACTTTAACGTAAAAATAAAATAAAGTTGTACGATTGCTTTTGAGACAATGTTTCGGTTTGGAAAAGCTGAAGTGTAGCTTTAAACCAAAATGATTCACAAGTATTATAGTCTTCTCGTATCTGAGTGGAGTGGACCACGAAGATATGAAACGACTTTATCTAAGTTACATAAAAATAATAAATAAATATTTTTTGTTTTCTCTTATTCTAAAAAGAGCAACTCGTTTTGATAAAATAAAATAGTCACACGTTCAGAATATGTTTAATAGTAATGGCTTTGGAATGAAACTTAATTGCTTCTATTTTTCTGTCATTAAATTAATACTGTATGGCAAAATGAATCGCTGTTCTGCTTTGTTTTTTTCTGGGTCCATTGCCAAAAAACTCAAAGCTGATAAATAATAACACTTCAATGTAATTATTTAACCAGAAAAAGACAAGATAGTACAGCCATTCATATTGCCATACAAAAACAGTGATAAGGTAATTATCTGACGACAGAAAAATAGAAGCAATTAAGATTTCATTATAAATCCACAACTTAAAACATCTGAAAGTGTTACTGCATATGCCAAATTTGAGATTTTGACCCTATTCCTGTTTTATCAAAACAAATTGTTCCTTTTAGAATAAATGAAAAGATAAAATAATTATTTATAACTTCTATGCAAATTAGATATAGTCGTCACATATATTCGTGGCTGACGCAACTCAAATATGAGAAGACTATATCTAATGCATGTGATCATGTAAAACCACTACATTTTGTTATCTATGAATGACGATAAACTCGATACTACGTCCCAAATAATGACATAGTGTTTTTCAACTATCGAAAATGGCAGAATACAAGCTTTCGTATTTTAACTTTAAAGGACGAGGAGAATTATGTCGATTGTTGTTTGTGCTGGCAGATAAAAAATATGAAGATCATCGATTTGAAAGAGAAGAATGGAAAGATATAAAATCATGCAAGTATGCTACTGTATTGTAAAATTTGAATACATCAGATATTTACCGGGGAATTTACAGATTGACGAATTCATGGACCTCAATTCTTCACTTTTCTTTGTGATTGTATATGAATAAGAGCAGGCAGTTGATCTGACGACTAGACTAAATAAAAAAAATATGCATGTATAACAGGTGTACATAATTAATTTTAGTGTAAATTAGTGTAAACTCGTATATATGTTTATTCTTTAGCTGAATCATCAGTCGAATTCCATTAAAACTAAGATCGGAATATATAGAAAGGGACCAAAAACGTTTTTTTTTTATTTTATTTTTAATCATTCTTAGTTTTACAAATGTTATTTGTCATGGGGAGTAGTTCAAACTATCTATAAATTAAATTAGCTTAATTCAGCTATAGTATTTATTACAGTAACTAGAGTTTACTCAGACAAGATATTATTACTGTTGTGTTTGACGTTCCAGTTACAAGGAAACATGACGGAATATTTCCTATCTTTGTAAATGTTTCAAAATTACAAGACATCTGTATATATACCTAATATGCAAGAAACAAATGTTCGCCCTTTATAGAGGTCGACCATTGCGTTTAATTCCCGGGTCCATCCATGCCTTAGAAATATTGTTGAGCAACTATATATACTGTTATTGACCTTCAATTCATCTATCATCCCGATTCTGTCTTTCCTTGTATTTAAAAAAAAGATATCAATTCTAAGCATTGAATAGACCGCAACCGCTTTTGCAATGGATGAAGACATGTTTGGTTCAGATTGATCGTTTTTCTTTACTATTCTGACATTGAAATTGAAAATCATATTAAGACGACTTTTTCAAAAGTTTGGCTTAGCTTTGAATTGGGCTTTTTGTAAAAATGTTTAATAAATTACTAACAAAAATGCTGAAACTAGTAAAATGGTTCGAAAAAGGTATAAATTATAATGAAAATACATACATGTATCATGCTTGTATATTAGAAAGATAACGTGCCTTGTTTCTAATTTCTTTACTATAATTAAGTTGAAAAGGTTTTTTTCTTCTTAATAAATTCAAGGGCTATTAACCTTACAACATATTGCTTTCTTCAAAAAAGGAATATTTTGTTTGCTGTGGTCATCCTGCAGTTACTATTGTGTTTCGCCTCATTTGTTAAGCAATCAAACGTTCAAACAAAACTAAATTTTCGAATACTAAGGATTTTGTACCACAGGAAAAGATTACCTAACCTGTATTTGGCAAAACTTTAAAGTTTATGAATTTGGGTGCTCTTCAACTTCGCTTTTATACACCCGTTTACGGAACGTATTATGGTAAACCGTTGTCCGTCCGTCCGTCCGTCCGTCCGCCCGTCTGTCAGTCCGTCAGTCCGTCCGTCGTCAACATGACGGACAATAACTCAAAAACGCTCTAACCAATTTGCATTAAACTTTATTGAATTATTTATATCTATTGGCGTGAGTTCCTTTTCGATTTTTATAAATCTTAGATTTTACGTTTCCGAGTTATGGGGTTTTATTCATTAAAATAGGGGGATTTTCCAGTTTTTAGACAATAACTCAGAAACGCTTTTATCAATTTGCATGAAACTTTGGTGAATTGTTTATATCTATTGACGTGAGCTCCCTTTTGATTTTTATAAATTTCAGATTTTCCGTTCCCGAGTTATGGGGTTTTATTCATTAAAGAAAGGGGATTTCCCAGTTTTCGCACAATAAATCAAAAAAGCTTTGAGCAGTTTTCGTGAAACGTTGGTGAATTGTTTATATCTATTGACGTAAGCTACCTTTCGATTTTTATAAATTTTAGATTTTACGTTTCCGAGTTATGGGATTTTATTCATTAAAAAAGAGGTGGATAGTTTTCCAGTTTTCAGACAATAACTCAAAAGTGGTTTGAGCAGTTTTCATGAAACTTTGGTGACTGGTTTATATCTATTAAGATAACCTCCCTTTAGTTTTTCATAAATTTCTGATTTGACATTGAGGAGTTATGGAACTTTATTCTTTAAAAAAAGCGACGGACGTATCATGCGTTCATGGCGCAGCTCTTTATTTAGTTGGCCGTATTTATTATTTTGATTCGAGCGTGACAGATGAGTCTTTTGCAGACGAAACGCGCGTCTGGAGTACGCAATTTCAAGCCTGGTATCTATAATGAATTGATTCACACGTGAGTATTCTTTTCAATCTTTCCAGCTATGCCACTAGGACAGGTTCCAGTACTGACGGTAGGAGGGACACAGATACCACAATCTGGAGCAATTATTCGATATCTTGCCAGGGAATTCGGTAACCTATTTTCTAAAATCTTGTATCATTTTGTTATTTTGATCCAATTAATCGTTTGTTATCACATATATTTGCGTTATATTTAAAAGATGATAGATGCATATGGAAATGAAACTAAAACAGCGTGAGCTATGTTAATGACCCATCTTAAAACCTTAACATTTGAAATCGTATCCACAACAATTTGATTAATTGGAAACATAAACACGGGATATTGTCATTTATTTTACCTCGTTATACCTTCCAGGTTATTGATAATTGATGTAATATCTATACGGTACACCCTGGATCCGATTCCGACGAGTGATCATTGCTCTGTGCGAATCGGACCTAGAGTGTACTTACTAATTGCACTGAACAAAGTGTAATTGCTCCTCGGGATTCGGATCCCTCCGCGCATTTCGGAACGGGATACCCAGTGTGACAACGTCCAAACTGACCAGCGTCAAGGGAAACTGCATTAGAATTCCGAAAAGTGGTGCTCTCTGACTACTGCTGTGTATCTTCTTTTTATACATCAGTCACACTTTCAATTCAAATTTCATTGCCTCATCTATTCTTGGCCATTACCATCGGTCACACAGGCGTGAGCGTCCATTCCATGCAGTGTGTCCCATAGCTTTTTGTAGTGCATCCAGAACTATTTCTATGAATGCAGATTACAAATCCAGTTCAGATTTCCTGTCGAAAAGATCTGGATGCAGATAGGCTTGGCAAATTTGGTTGACAGAATTCGGAATTAAGAATCTAAGGTTCCAATTGACCTTAGATGAATTGGACTATTCTTTCAATGCCCCTTTTGTTCGTAAAGGTCTTTACTTGTTTATGTTCTTATACATACTTGGCTTTCAAAATTTTGGTTTTGAGCTTCGGACGCACCAAATTAAATAAGTGCAGTTTTCATTTTGAAGATACTCCAGTTGTTCTCGATGGTTCTCCCAAAGACAATTGTGTCATCTATAAAAACGCATAAGATATTTTATAGGAAAGTCATGCAGACAATCTTCAATGATTCTTTGGTGCATCACTTGGGAGATTGTGAAGCCAAAAGGCACTTATATCTTATTCATTGTCTTATCGATAGTATAATGTTGATGGCAGATCTTTGACAGTCTCATTTTAGACTCGGTTGATAAAGAGATTGACGACCTGTTAATTATTGAAGACCATAATTATGTTGACCTGTAAATGTCTTTTGGTTTTTATGTCGTTTGGTTGTTGTCTCATTGGAGTTAACCCCACATATCGTATTATTTGTATTCTTTTACATTCGTTTGAATCCCTAGGACTGTGTATTGGTCCAACAGTTCCGGCAGAGGGTATTTGTTTACTATGTTTTATAACTCGACACGCAGCATTTATTTTTTTCTACAATGATCGTGGATAATGACCCAAAGGCCAAACTAATGAAAAAAGAAATTACCATATTTCTAGTATCAGACATGACGACATTTGCAGGCTAAAAAATAAATGCAAATTTCAAAATACTTTCTTTTGAACTATTTAATCTAGCAGAAAAAGTATTCAAAGTACAAGATATCTACAACGATAAATATTTCAAACATATAGAAATCTAAAATTAACTTTATTATACAAATATATAAAATACAAAAATATATCCATAGCACAACTTTTCTATTTCAAAGAGAAAATGTCGGCTTCAACATATTTATTCCTTACACACAACCATTCCTGCATAATAGGGGCAACCGAATAGGTTGGTCGGACATGACGTCATGTAAGTTCGTTGATATTTTGCGTGTAGTTAATATAGAATAAGGAAATGGTGTATGATTGCCAATGAGTCCAAATGACGTGAAGTAAAGCAACTTTATGTCACCTTACGTCTTTCATAAAATTATTTAGATTAGTATGGTTGAAAAAATATATTTTTTTCAATTCAATGTTTGTCTACAGGACATTCATCCCAAATGGTTAATTGTGATATATAAATGTGGTCACCTGCATTTCTACTGCCTGGCCGTAAGACCTTTTTCGACGTGTCTGTTTGACTGTTCGGGGGGAATAAAGATTCCGCCGCATCTACTCGGATCGGAATGTTAAATCCGATGCCACTATAGTGGTAAAGCGCTGCTATCTCCGCACGTAATATAACTGTTGCAATAACTACGGTATCTGAAGGTGACCAATATTGCAAGACAGAATGTATCTCTCATACCAACATACGTCTTTTACATTTGCAGTCAAAATTTCCTTCCCTTCAGCCTATTGGTGTTATTAGCAGAACTTACTTCGTTTTATAAAATATTTTTCCGTTAACGTTAAGCAAACGACAATCTTTACTTAATCATCAGGGCATTCCTTGTATTATTGCCTATTGATATAGTTCTACTTAAATTTAAGGGTTGTACGGCAAGAACAATATGGAGAATACCATGGTTGATGTTATAATAGAGACACTCGATGGAGTGAGGTCAGAGTTTATAAAATGGGTGAAAGAAGAGGATGATGTAAAAAAGGTTTGTAAAACGATATTGTAAATCACTGATTAATTTAAAAATGTCACACATAAAATCCTTACCTAAAAAGACAGAATTTTGTTCCTATGTCTTTTTTACCCATTTATTCGAAAGGCACATTAACGTAAACAGGGTACCTGATTCATCCTAACATGAACTTTTATAGACGTTTATTTAAAAAAGAAAATTAAAACGCAAGGTTCCATTTTCTCTGGTATATCTAACTATCAAAGTTTTAAAATTAATAGGATTGTGAGAAATGTGTCTTATATATTATTGAAACAGCAAAAGATCTAGAACAACACAAAAAACAAGATTTCAAGGATCTTCCAAAACAGACCAAAAATGTTAATCTATATACATGGCTAAATAAGAGGCAAGTCATAAAGTAGGTTTGGGGAGGGTTGAGCGCTCACAAACATGTAAAAACCCCGCCACATTCTTTCTGTGTCTGTCCCAAGTCAGGAGCATGTAGTTCAGTGGTTGTTGTTGGTTCATGTCTGTCATATTTGGTTTTTTCGTAAATTGTTTTGTTAAAGATTAGGCCATTAGTTTTTTCTCTTGAATTGTTTCACATTTTTCAATAAAGGGTATATTTTTTTATTTTCATTGTTGAAGGCCGTATGGTTGCCTTTAATGCTTAATGCACTTCATTTGAACTCAGACGGATAGTTGTCTCGTTGGCAATCATACCTCACCTTCTATTTTTATATTGGTTTTGCTCGCAGTAACTTATTATTTTCTGTGCGATGCAACATTTCATAGAGGTAACAAAATATTACTACTATCTTTATCTCTTGATTAAAAGTGCTGTCAGCATTATTGATTTTTTTATTATTGGTATCAAATTCACATTTTGTTTTTTGGATTTTTAAGTTTGGTGACGATATTATGAACATTGTTTGTTTATTATTATGATTTATCAAAAACGTAATTTAGTTTTTATTTGCAGTATTTCTAAAGTACACGGGGTTTCTGTTGAATACAGATTTTGGATTTGCTGAAGAAGTGTTAAGCAGGTCATGTGGTGTTTTGCTCATAACAAGTAAAAATCCTGTGATAAATCGAACTCGATGAGGTTAATTTCATTGTAGCCTAGTTGCCATATCAAACTTTTAAATGTAGATATTATTTAAAGTGATCGTTTAAAATAATTGATTTGATGGATTAGACTTTTCGGTTTTGACTACATATCAAAGGGGAAGTTATGTATTTCACATCCTTGAATAAAAAATCTACAATAAAAAAATCAGGTGTCGACTTATTTAACTTCAATATTTAGTTTTATTAATTATCAATTATTAGAGTAATTTATAATATATGAAATAATCGATGTTCAAGAAATACAACTATAAATGATGTAAATATTGGTGATATTGACACTCAACCTCCGCCAGTTGAAAATCTAGCTGGGAGTACCTCAGTTGATAAGATTAACTAATCGCCATTCCTTAAGGCAGACTATAGTTACGTATGATTAACACGACATCAGACTACTATAACAGAAAACAATAACAAAATTGATGTATAAAAACATTGAATATTAAGGTGTGATATCGTGATTAGTTAAACATATCTATAAATCTTTTACAGGCAGAAATTATCAATAAAATGAAAGAAGTAATATTTCCTAGATTCATTGCGTTTGTTGAGAAAATATTGTCGGATAATAGAGGGCAGTTCCTGGTTGGAAGTGAGGTAACTTATTGTATATCACTTTGCATTTGATTAATGTCGTATTCATAACACATTCATAACAAATAACTGATTGAGGCAAAGACTTGAGGAGTTAAAGGTGGACATCGATGAAAAATCTGTGAGGTAAACAACAACGGAGACAAATCTTTATTCATTCATTTACCCTGGTTAAATTAGGTATTTCATAGTTCTTGCCATAATACGTACCAGAAAATATTTCACTTTAACTCTTTGAATCGGTCCTTAAAGATACCATCTGAAAGTACAAGTTTTACTTTTAAGTTAGTTATTCAGTAACATTGATGAGATGAGGAGATTTTCTATGAAATTATGAAAAGGATAGAATACAGTCATGCTGGTAAACTGTTGAAAATATTTTTTAAAATTTTGCCCTTACGTTTACTAATGGTTAATAGCTACAACAATAATCAAGTTTTTTTCATATTGAATATTTCTTTTTTATTAGGTAACACTAGCAGATGTGGCTGTTTTCGATCTCATTTCAAGAATATCTAATATGTGGAGTCAGGAATTAATGAATATGTCAACTGTATTAAAAGCACATTGTGAAAAGATTGCGTCCATACCAAGTATAAAGTTGTGGTTAGAAACCCGACCAAATACAGTTCGGTGAATCGTTAAAAACGGGTTAAACCAATCAGACGATCATTATGTAATTTGGTTTAATTAATTTTATATCAGTCAAGTACAACAAATATAAAAAGTTGTAGTCACGAAAAATATATACACTTTTATTTAAACAATATTATATCTAAAATTAAGAATGTCTCATTAGATTTTACCCTTTTTTTACAATCAGCTCGCGCCTGTTCAAATTACTATATGTAATGTGGTACTGATGTATTTTGATCAAGAAGGCTCGAATTTGACTCATTATAATGATTTAAGAATGTTATTGTCCATCAAATAAACAGTATATATATATAACTATACAAACACGCATTTCTCAATGTAACCATATTCAAATTTGATTCTTTTCTTCATTTTTTGCATATTTACCAAGATTTAATATTAAATTATTATAATAATTGATGTTTAAATCTTGGAGAACATGGTTTATTTCTAAGTTGAAAGTTGACTTTGTACCAGCGTTATGTTACTGTGAGTATAATCTTTGATCGACATGTCGTGTTTTCTTTTTTTTTTTTTTTTATTTGTTTTTGTGCTTCGTACCGATCTGATGATTCAAAACCTTCCAATTGTTTTTTAAGTGAAATCAAGTCTTAGGATTGATATATAATTCTGGGAAAACATGGCCTATGTATTAGATGTCAATAAACTTTGAACCCGGTTTCATTCTTGTCTTTTGTCTTTTTGTTATTTGTTTTTGTACTTAGTGCCGATATGATGAGTGAAGCCATTTCCAACGGATTTTACAGTTTGTTCTTATTAAGTGATGTCCCAGATAAAGGAAGGATTGGGCGCTCATAAACATGTTTAACCACGCCAAATTATGCATGCGCCTGACTCAAGCCAGGAGCCTGAAATCTAGTGGTTGTTGTTGGTTGTAAATGCCATAATTGTCTTTGAATTCGTTCATTATTGTAGTCTAAATCGAATCGAAAAGTTGGTTTAATATTTTGAATTGATTCACATTTTGTGATTCGGGGACCATTTATAGCTTACTATACGGTATGGTTTTTGCTCATTCTTGATGGTCGTGGATTAACGATGAACTCTCATTGCCCATGGTTTTGTCCCCTGGTTTTAAATGCATAATGGTCTCATTGGCAATTATACCACAACTCCTCAAACTGTCTATACATGACGGATGAACACAAATCTTAAAAAAAAATAACATTTGAATTTCTATGTGGTTGTTTAATGATCACAGGACGAAAGATTTCTACTTGAATGAAGGCAAATTTACCTACGATGTCATTTTCCATACCCAATTTGCTTATTCAATAGGATATACCGTAACAGATAACTTTCTAAAGTTGCTGAATAGAATAGAGAATGGAAACAGGGAAAAGGCCACCAATGTGTTTTCAAAGCAGTAAGAAAATTCCTGCACCCTGAGGCGGGCTTCAGTTGACAATAATGTATACTAGTTCAGCGAAATGGACGCCACACTAAACTCCGAAACATACAAATGAATAAAAATTTTAAAAAACACACAACGCTAACAAAGGCTAGAGATTCCTAACTTGGGTCAGGCGGAAAATTGAGTCGGGGTTAAAGATGTTTTGTGAGATCTCAACCCTCCCCTATACATGTAGCCAAGGGGAATAAACAAACACATAACAATACGCACAGTAAAACTCAGTTTAAAAGAAGTCCAAGTCCGGTGTTAGAATAGGTAACTGAAGAAACCAAGCAACATGACAATGATCAACATAAATTAACAAAATACTACTAGCAGTTGCTAACGTGCCAGCTCCAGACCTTAATATTAAGTATATTTATTAACAATACACCCATAATCAACCTGAGGTCGCGTTAACTTCCGAGCAGCAGATATTAGATTCCATTGGACATTGTCACTTCCAACACTATCTGTCTTTTATTCTATCATTTTACCTTTCACATCAATATAAAGGTACCCATTTCACCGAACCAAGATTTGATATGATTGTCTATGAGACAACTATTCACCAGAGGCCACATGACGAAGATGCCAACGACATTATATCACCGTTCTACCTTCAACAATGAACAAAACCCATGCCGTAAAGCAAGCATGCTTTATTTAGCACTTTGTCTAAATATCATCTGTTGGTTATCAACTAATTAATTTACCAATATCATACCCAAACTCTAGGAGTAGGTGCTACAAATGTACATTGCGTTCATCTTGTCCATCCGTTCGTCCAAAAAATATTTCTGTCACTTATTTCTCAGGTACCACTATACAAAATTACTCCATATTTGGTCAACAACTTGACAGTGATGAGTTATAACGACGTGTGAGCCATTTTCGGATCAGTCTGACACCTACTTTCTGTTTATCTATACTTTCATTTTTTTCAATATGTTGAATGAACATGATAATATTCGTTACATAGTATTATTGAACAGAATGACTTCTTGCTTGGTCAGCAGTGGTGAGTTGTGGGAAAGGATCACTTTTTGGATCTGCGAGGCAACTTTTTGGGGCCCTTTATAGCTTGCTGTTCGGTGTGAGCCAAGGCTCCGTGTTGAAGGCCGTACTTTGATCTATAATTGTTTACTTTTTACACATTGTGACTTGGATGGATAGTTGTCTCATTGGCACACATACCACATCTTCTAATTCATACTCTTACTTTTCCCGTACTTTTAGTTACGAGTGGAGGAATGCTATACCACGTGCATTCTTTTTTTTTCATTGAATTCACAACACAAAAATAGAAAAATCAATGAAATTAATATTGTTTGTAAAGTTTTAAAAATATATAAATAAACTAAGTAGGTATTCTAAAGCTCACATTTGCGTGCAGTTGGTCAAGAGCTCGATCCCTTGTTGGGTCTACCGAAATATTTCAAATGGGTTTTTGTTGCTTTTCAGCAAAGCTCTTAGCATTGGTCCATAAAACCGGTCAAACATTTTAAGCAACATACTACAAAGTACTTATCAGTCTACGACCAGCAAAATTGAGGCAATGGCAAACTGTATACATCAACCGAACATTACGAAAATGGACCACTTACTTTTTTCAATATTAAGAATTACTACATGTACTTTATTAGAAGTTAATGTGAATTTGTAAAGTAAACATAGTACATTCAGTTCACTTGTCCGTGGTTTCGCCGATGAATTCGAATTACATCTGTAAGATATAAAAGTGTATATATCATGAAGGCCCAATGATGCCATTTCTAGTTTTACCCAGCATATAAATTTAAAGAATAAACGCGCGACATATTGATATAAAAACCTAAAAAAGGGAAAACACCAAACATCACACACGCACACAATTAAAAACTCGAAAAAGTGGAAATATATTAAATACAAAAAATGTTAACGCTAACAAAAGGACAAATTCGAATAAGTATCGTTCTTCCGTTGTGTTTATACTATACTCAGTCTAGGAAAACATGATTTATTTATAAGTTGTTATTAGATTTGAACTAGTTTTCAATAACTGCGAGTACACTTAGATCGGTACTTTGTGACTTTTCTCTTTAAGTTAGATGGTTTTGTGGTTCTTGGCGATCTGATGAGTCAAGCCATTTCCAACTGATTTTAACGTTCTATTTTTATGGTATGCTGTTACACCATTGTCCCCGGTTAGCAGGAGGGTTGAGCGCTCAGAAACATGTTTAACCCCGCAAAATTCTGCATGTGCCTGTCTCATTTTATGAGCATTTAATTCAGTGTTGTCGTTTGTTGTTGTCTGCAATGTCGTTTTTTTGTTGATTGTTTTGTCATAAATTATGCCGTTGGTTTTTTCGTTTGAATTGTTTAAAAACAATTGTTTTACATTTTCATGTCGTGGCCTTTTATAGCTGACTATACGATATATGTTTTGGTCATTGATTAAGGCCGAACGGTGACCTATAATTGCTTAAATCACGTCATTTGGACTCTGATGGACAGCTGTCTCGTTAAATTGAAATAGTTTATGTGTTCGATTTGTACGGTGGCAGAATGCGGCCATGAAAGACGATCTATTTGATATTTGTTAATTTGTGGGTCAACTTTTCAATGCTATGAAAATGCATTGCAATGTATATCAGTATATACACGTTGTAAGAGGAACAACAGTAGCTTGAGTTCTAGTGATAAGTGATTGAAAATGGGTGAAATAAATATCGCATAAAGTTAGTAGAAATATTACTGGTAAAAATTCAGTTGGAGGAACGTACCGTCAGTTTTTAATTTTTTTATTGAATGTGAATTCAGGAGCTTTGTAGATAAAATGAACTTTAATAACTAGTTCCATTTGTTTTCATTAAAATCTGAAAATTCAACTCCATAATTGTAAATTTCCTTGTTTTTCCGTGTTAAGTTATATTTAGTAAATGAACCAATTTCTCCCACTAAGGGTTACGACAACCTTCTAAAGGGACGTCTGATGTATCAATACACAGTTTAGAATAGAGCATTAATTAAGCATTTGCTTAGTCGACAGATGACATTAACTGTTTTGAATTTCAATTCACATTTCCTGCTTCAAAGCTTGCTTCTTATTTGAGAAAACGATAGTGGACTGCTATGTCATAAGTTAACGGACAAATAAAATCATCATAGATACCAGGATTAAAATTTTGTACACCAGACGCGCGTTTTTTCTACAAAAGACTCATCAATGACACTCGAATAAAAAAAGTTATAAAGGCCAAATAAAAACGAAATTGGAGAGCACTGAAGACAAATGTGCAATAATAATGACAGTTGAAAATATTTTCGTATCAGTGCGATAAGGGCATGAGAAGGAAAATATGACATGTATGAAAGTTATACGCTATGATCTTAAAGTAAATGCTATAAGTCATTAACTGGTCTATATGTTTATACTCAATAGCTTGAAATGTAAACGTAATGTTTATATAAAACGGTCTTTTCTAAGAACAGAAAATGATTGGTAAAAGACAAATAGATAGAAACTTAACAAAATTATTCAGAAAAACCATCCTGAAGTTAACATTCTATCTTTATTCATCTGTACAATATTTCAGACTCTCAATCCGCTCGAGTTTAGAGATAGATATATAGAGAGAAGATAACAAGGGGGAAAGACCAATAAAACACAACACCATGGCTAACAGGGAAAACGAAGAAAAGACAAACAACAATAACAAAACACTACACGGGAACCTCAAGATTGATCAACACGAACCCTACCTAAAACCGGGTGAACTCATGTGCTCCGGCAAATCCTGCTCCATTGATGGCACTCGTCGTGTTATTCGTTGTTTCAGCACGGCTATACGTCGCATTTTATAATATCATAATCGAGGCAAAGAGGACTGGATTGACGTTACGACAAGATGAGCATATTCGTGTTCA